TCTCTCTCTCTCTCTCTCTCTCTCTCTCTCTCTCTCTCTCTCTCTCTCTCTCTCTCCCTCTATACATTTCTGAAATATCTCTTACGAAGTACCTATCTTTTTTATAATATCAAGGAGCATTCTGTTGTGTAGCTAAACCGACTATTATATCGTTTTATCGTTTTAATGAATTGTCGAGCGTAACGTACCCACGTCTTCGATTCGCAATAATGCAACTTTCTTCGATATATTTTCTCCCTTCTGCGACATGCCCCGATTTTTTTTTTTTTTTTAGATGGAAGCACAAAATGTTTCACGAGGCCCGCGGAAAATATCACAGCCCTGAGAGAAGTCACGAAACTATCCGCGACGCATCCAGGAGTTTTTGGTCATACAGTTATTTTGAAAGTGGCGTAAATCCAAGTATGATGCACTCTAAATTCTGAACTATAAATTCGTGCAATCTGCCTCTACAAGTTCTATTTTTGAAAACTGTTATACGCCATTTTCAAAACAAACGGCTTGTATATTAGTTTGTATATTAGCTTCCGAAGAGTATAGGTCGCGTTACGCGTTGCAAGTGATTTGTTAAATCAACGTTTTGTTCTCAAAGCACTTGTGGCTGTAGGACGATTCAGGACGACGGTTCGTGCAATCGGAGCAGCAAATACAGCGATGGAACTCGAACAAAATTGTGCGAAGTAGCGTAATAGCAATCTATTACGCTCCGAGAAACTTGTCTATGCAGATATAAAAATGTATCGGTTGCAAGTCGTTATAAAAAATTTTTGCTTGAATTATCAAGAGTTGTCACAAAACTGGAAATTAGAGTAATATTAGAGAAATTGAAAACAGTCGGGGAAATCAGAGAAAAATTAAGGAATTTTTTAAAATTTCTTGAAAAAATGGAAAATTAAAATTCTTAGTTTTAAAGAAATTTAATGTTTATACATTATACCTACGTATTTTGGAAATACTACTAATTTAATAATTAAATGTAAGCAGTATAAACAACATTAATAACAATCTCAACAAAATATTTAACGATTTCCAAGTCAGGACGGAAAAAATATTAATTCATTGATTATTCAGGTCAGGTAAAGTCATGAAATTTTATTTGGAAATCAGGATGAGTTATGGAATTTTAAAAGGAGGAATTTGTGACAACTCTGTTATCAATTATCAATTCAACATTATTATATCTTTACTTACGTTTTCGAAACTAAGAATGTTATAAGTTCACACCTAGGGTGTTCACAAAATCCAGTGTAAGTGTCGCAGTGAATTAATATCGGCAATGAATGACATTACATACGCGCTCTTAAGCATAATCAAGCAGCATGTTAAAATAGATTTCAAGAATAGCCAATATTCTTTGCATGCGAAGTTAGAAGTGTTGCTTTTATCGATAGCGTGTGAATTTGGACAAGATTGTTAATCTTCCGGAGGCCAAAATATAATTACTGACGCTGGATTTGCAAGACCCCATCTAATTCATGTTAATTAAGAGAGGCACTAATTAAGTTCAAGGAACGAAAATGACATAATTTATATAAAATGGAATGAATATTAAGTTCTTCTTAAAATATTATTTAACATGAATAAATTTAAATTTTCAGATGTAACATAAAGAGAATTGAATTGTTTGACTTTTTCGACAAAGAAATTTATAATTGAGATTTATAACTGTGAGTGAGTTCAATACAAGCCTTCGTTAAACCGTTTCATTTCCGGAAATTTAAATTTATAGAAAGAAGTAAGTCAAATTTTGAAAGATTAAAATGGAATGCGTGATTAACAGAAAATTTCGCTTCGTTACGTTGCTATATCAATTAAGAAACTCGCCATAAAACGAACGATTTGTTTTTTTTTCTTTTTTATTATTGACGCATGAGAGCTACCTTCGAAGCTTTTAATTAATCGTTAGAAATTTAATATCTCTTGCATTCTCAAACTTCTCTCTTTGGAGGTTTCATTATATTCGCACATCATAAGCGCACTTGTCTGATTCGATATTCATGTATAGGGCGTTTCAAAGTTACACTGACAAACACCATCGGTGGCGAATTCATTGACAAATTTGGAGTCATCTTAAAATCTATCGAAATATTAATAATTTCTCAATTATATAAGCGATTGGATATGAATGATCTTTCGTATATTATTTTTTAAAAGTACAAACAAGTAACGAAATCTTACTCTACATTTAATCTTAAGTGAATCTTAAGTGAATCTTAAGTGAACTTTGAAAGCTTTTGTTTAATGCTTATTCATGTATTTAATGTTATAAATCAGAGAAAAGATAAGATCTCTTTTAGTCAGCTGTTTTTCTCTTTATTATATAGAACGATTAAGTGCAAAATGCTCAAAGAGAGAATTTATAGATATCAATTTCTTAGAGAATTTAGAAAAGCTCTTAAGACTAATAGTGAAGTCAATGCAAAAAGAAAAAAATACAAGTTTCGAAGAAAAAATTTTTTTGGCGATATTGTATCTAATTATACAAGTTTGAATAAAAATAAGTTGACGGAAATATATAGATAATACATGAATATCTATTTTTATGATTTTCGTATGACGAGATTGAATTCAAATATTTCTTAGTACGCACAAGAGTATTTTTAATATAGTATCATTAATTTATTTAAAAATTATAAAAAGTACGGCTTATCTCTTTGGTGTATGACAGTGATGCCATTTATGATCGTTCTAGATCTCTGGTCGTAGTACCTATAAAGAACGATATAAATGTCACGCCTGAGATGATATTTGTATAGTCCATTCGAACTATTTCGACTTTTTTTTTTAAACGCAAGAAATCTTACATTAAGATTAATCACGTACAATTGTCACATGCAATTTGTCCATATTCTTGCACATTTAACACTAAATATGGCTGCCTAGTTCTGAATTTTATTAATTTAACAGATCGTATTTGCATGTACTGGAGACATGATATGAGAATTAGCCGACCATAGTTGGTACTAAATGTATGTTGAGAATATGACCTCCTGTTTCTTTCGACAAAATTTTTTCGAAAATTCTCTCGATCGTTTTTGCGATTAACAAAATAATTTAAATAAATTATTTAAATAAGTAGTGTATAACAAGAATTTTTACGAATTTATTTCTATTATTTTTAGATAAGTTAAAAATTGCAATTTATGAAGCGAAATCATGATTTAAACTTTTAAACTTTCAAGTTTTCTGTATTTATTATTATTATTATTATTCATTTAAAGGTAAAATATATGATATGGCGTATGTAAAATATGCACTTTAATGTACGAATGCGAAAATAAATTGCGAAATAAATAAACAAGTGTTATTAAGCCAAGTTTGAAGTCTGGACGGAAATGCCTGACAAATGATCGCGAAATTATATCCAATAATTTGCAAGCGTGGAAGAAGTACTGAGTTAAAAACAGTCATTAATCTTTCTTTAACATTATGAGATTACTAATTCATCAGATATCGCAAAAATAAGGTGGTGCTTGTAAGAGGGAGATAATTATTTCTCAAATACGATCGCAATTTACTGTCGTTAACGGCGCTTGAGATCTTTCAAACGGAGTCGCAGATGAACGGGTTTGCCATGTCCCAAAGGTGTCTCTGAAGGATCCTCGACGCCATTAATTTTGAAAGACCGGTCGCATTCCCGCGCTGAATCTTCGTCTCTCGTTAAGGCGCGACGGAGTCCCTGAAGTAGAAGTCGGCAGTTCTTTCGGTGTAGATTGGTCGGTCGTTTCCATTAGAAATATCCGTGAAGCTTTCTTACGGTACGAATCCTTTGGCGATTCGGGACACGCGTCCTTACAGGCTCCAGTAATACCGCGGTATCCTCAGGATCTTCGGCGATCGTGAAAAGTCGAGAAATCCCGGCACAATTGTCCTTAAAGAGGATCAGGACGCGCCGTAAACGCAGGCCGAGTTGTCTGGTGGACTGATCTTCTCCACAGGTAACACGGCTGCTCTGTGCCACTCGTCACGAACCTGTTATCGGAAAAGATAATAATTGCTTACTACAGCAAGATAAAAAATGGGGAATAAAATCGATTTGCGTTTGATATCATTTTTGGATTTTTTTTTTTCACAAACAGTTTTGTTAAAACATCTAAGAAGACCTAATTTAGACAGACCTAAAAATAATTTTGTTAAACTATCAAAATAATTGTGCAGGAATTTGTCTAAGAAAAAGAGAGTACAACTTTCACTTTTTTGCGATCATTCGAAGATCGTTTTATTTTTATCTCTTCTTATATATTTTTCTTCATAGAAATCAAAAATTACCATAATAATAAACGGTTCACTCAAAAAAAAAAAAAATTAGTATATTATAGTATATTAGTATATATTAAATTGAAATAAAGTTCATTCATATCGTCGCTGTCAGTTATACTTCAATCATTTAAAAATTCAGAGAGAGAGAGAGAGAGTTTGATCGGTTTTATTAACTTTATTTTAATGTATATATGCAAAACTTTTTGCAGCTCTGCTTGATCATTTTTTTTGTATGATTATTTTGATCCAACAAAATTTTTCAAATCTGTATCTAAATTTTTAGATATTTTTTAATAAAATTGTTCTTTCTACAGGAAAAAATTGATCAAGAATCTTTATAAGAAGAAAATTATGTAGCGTCTATTGTAAATTTTTCTGCAAAAATATTCGTGTTATTCACTATAATATTATATTTCATTGTTTATTAATGGCTTTATTTTTTTTTCCTATGTAACTATTCGATTTGCTTGAAAAAGCTTGTTTCTGCTATTTTTATTTTTTATGTCATATAGAGCTGTTATCTTTATTGCGAGCATGAAAATAATTCCAACAATGAATTTGTGAAAACAGGAGCAACGCCATAGTTACAACGCACTCAATTAACTTAGAGCGTGCGTAACAAAGAGTGTTAAAATTTTAATAACCATCCAAAAGTGTTGATAAATATATTCAGCGAGCACGCGCGATTAATCGTAGTTAGATATTCGGAATTACCTAATCACCGTCATAGGATATATGTTTTATTTTAGCAGCCAAAACTTTTTTTTATAATCATCGTAAATAATAATAAATTTTTTTACAATGATCGTAAAAGAAACGGCACTCTATAGCCGATTAGAAACGAACATTATCATACCTGTTCGACTTTCGCGAATACCCTCAGCAAGTTGAGCCCGGCTAGTTTCTTGATGTCATCCTCCGTCCATGTGGGATCCTCTAACAAGGTGGCCAATAGTTGCGGATACCTCGAGACATCCTCTAAACCCGTGGGAGTACTACGAAAGGTACAAATCTCGTGAGAGTCAAACGATCTTCTTAACTTAGCTGATTCGAGGCAACACTCAGAGAACGACGATAAGTTCGCAGCGCTCGATGCATTACGTTCAGTTTTTTAAAGAGCATTATAACAATAAACTGAATAACGATGGATTCATTTGTTTTAAAAACGATGATATGAATTATATTTTTAGTCAATCTGAGTTGGTATATTTAGTGTCATAAAACTGATCTTCAATACTTTCACTTCTGCTTCAATATTGTACTCGCAATTGACGTGTGTCCCACGCATTATTATAGATAAGCACGCATTATTATAGCAAGCTTTTGTGATTCCACATTAGATCTGAACAGTCTGATTGTTAGTATGAATAAGTATTGAATTCGAAAATAGAAAATAACTTGTACAATTAGGTAGTTTATTGTGAAAGGTATTTATTAACGCATGTAAGTTTAATCATAAAACTATACAAATTTACGTTTCTGTTTGGATAACATATTTTAGTGATTTTACGAGCGATGTTCGATAAATATGAATTAATTTTATTCTTGATTCAATATAAAAGAAAAACCATATTTTAAACCGTTTTAATTTGTCAAAGGGACGTAATAGGTACAGACTGTTCCTATTCCATAATCTTAGTTTCTGTGCTCAGTTAGAAAGAATTGAATATATTAGCATCTTTCTTCAACTCGATACTTTAGAGAGAAAGTAATATGATTCAAGTCATTTCACTCTTTCTAAATCGATAGTGACAACTTCATAGGAATGTGCAGTCTAGTCTTATCACAGCTATGGTTAAACTAAAATAAATTTTGAAAAAATTATTATGACGAAAGAAAAAGAAGTTGCGTTAACAATGATATATTTTACTATGCATACACATTTACATTATTACAAGAACCATGATAGGCACTTTGTGAAAGTTTCGTAACTGCGGAACAAAAGCAGTTCCTTGGGCATTGTTTCTTGTACTTCCCCTCCATCAAATTAACCTCCCGGGACTCACGCGCTTCTGAAAACAAGCGAAGCAATTATCCTCGAGCGTAAAAGTGGAACTCTCTGTAGGTTAAATACATATTTACATCGAGTTGCAGATTTATTATGGCTCGTACTTTTCAACGAAATTAATCACAAGCGTTACTGTATTGTATCAAATTATTTATTATAACAACGCGCAGTATGTATGTTGTCTCTGAGTGCCTCTGCGCGCGAAAATAGATATTGTGAAAGAATAATTACAAATTTATCCCGTCGAAACCCGCTCCGATTCCAACATGATCGATTCCCGCCACCTTTCGAATATGATTGATGTGTGCTGAAACAATATATTGGGCCTTAATCATTTTGTCCTGGTGCCAGCACGTCACAAAATATTTTAATATGAAATATTTTAATATATATGCATGCGCTTTTGCCTATGGGAATAAAATGTGATTGGGGAATAGCACGGTTATGAGGTAACGTGCTCATGAGATCGTCATGCATGCGTAGGTAAAATGTTTTATTATTATCAGAAACACGTATACACAACGGATCTTTTTAAATATTTGCGCGAGTGTTAAAGTAAAAGTAAATATATATCCCACTTAAAAAATGGCTAAGCAAGATGAATTGGAGAATTCTTGCAATATTAAGATACACGTTTGTTTCATTCGAGAAATAACGGATGCATTTATTTTGTTATAATTTTACGTCTTTTTACGAGCATAACTTCGAAAATTAAATTTACAACGGAAAATGTGTCAAAATGACATAAAATACAATGTGTACAGTAATTACGCGTCTGTCACATGCAATATTGATACGGTATAATTTACTCCCGGGGTTTGGCTTAGTACAGTTTCGCGTATAGCGTTGCACGTACCAATAACGTCTTTTATAGTAGCGGTGCTGTTGCACGTTATGAAGTAGGTATAAAAAGGGACCATCGCCACTCCACCATTCTTAGCCTGTGAACAGATACATTAACGTCATACACGCTGTGCGATTGTATTTCTTTCGATCTTTAAACGTATGACACGAAATTACATCGCAGTTATGTACAATAAAATCATAATATACAATATATAATATATAATATATAATATATAATATATATTATTCTATTACTAAAATTTATTCGCGAGAAAATGGTTGTTTAATTCTCTTTACATCTGATTTTATTGGAACATGTTAAACATATCTTTTTGAATTCAATTTATGCGCATTTTAATAAATAATTCATACCAAATTGCAATTAATTTTTTTCAAAGTTTTGACTATTTTTCCAACGTATGCATTATTATTATGTACCTATATCAGATCTTAGATGATGTCGATAGAATTAAATAATTTGAACGAATAATTTCTTATTCCTTCAAATTTGATGTATATTACATGCAATGTACGCAGGATTTAAAAGAATTAAAATGGTCTCTCTTTGGGATTCTATGGTACAAAAAATTTGATATAAAAATAAATTAAAAACAATATTTTATTAATTTAATTCATTCTAGCAGATTATTATTATTATAAAAAAAATATATTTGAAGAGTTACATGAAATAATATGATATAATTGTATCAAAGAAATCAGTGTTTCAAAAAATTAATAGTTAATAATGAAAATAAAATTACCGTACAAGAGAGATTATAATAGGTACTATATTATAAAACAATAATATAAAATAATTCAATTAATACTAAGAAAAAATTTCTTCATTAACTATATTATTAGTTTTTTTCTAATCAACTGCGAAAACTATCGGAAAAACTGTTTCAAGGAACGCAGTTGTCTATTTGATACCTATCCTTGTTATTTTATGCAATGTTAATTAGGGCAGCAGGACAACGCGGTTAATAACACGTTACCAGACAAGCCATCCGGCTTAGATCATTACTCATCCTCTCGTTCTGCAGGTATAATTAAGGGAATATCGATTCATAGAGAGAGAGAGAAGGGAATGAAGTTTGTGGACATGGCGATGTTAGTAGAGTGACTTTAAGACATCAAGGAAAATTTCGATTAATTAATCAGTAATCATTTTGTTTTTCGAAGATGGGTTAACAATACTTCCCTATACTACTTTACAAATTGAAAATATGTTTCAAAACCATAGCAATATAATTAGTGATGCATTTCGATATGAAAATCTCGGAATATTGTCTCAAAACTTCTCATCTCATTAAAAATAACATTTCTGCGATTATTATATGTTATTTGTTTTTTCTCGTATCGTCTCGTCTCGGAAAAATCGGAGAAATCCATGCCAGTTACAATTAATGTGCTGTCTCATTATATAAATAAATATTTTAAATCAATGAACCGAGATCGTTAAATATAATTTTTCAAGAATAAAATATTATTAGGTAGAAATTATCAGGTAATAATATCAAGATATTGAAATAGAAATCAGCGCTAGATTAATAAAAATAAATTTTTCTGTCAGAATTTCATATTTACGAATTTCAAAGAATTTGGATTATAATATTATAAAATATTGATACAATATCAGTTATTGTTACTTTACTTCTTGTATCTTTCATAATTTTAATATTATTTAAAATGATATAATTGTCATAATATAATTTTATATTTATAATTTAAGTTTCCTTTTCTAGATAAAAAAATTTTTTTATTATATCGTTATTAATTCTTTACATAATTATATTAGAATTTTTCCTAAAAATTACATTGCATTCTTATATGGATCAAATGATCACATAAATACTACAGAATATGAAATGAAATATTAAATTTACATCGTATATTCCTTCAATGAAGTCTCTAAGTGTAAAAGTTAAGCAACAAATTGAATTTAATTTCGTTAACTTAGAACTTCTTGAGTTCATCATCGTTGGTTTGTCAATTGTTAATCTATGGACATGCGGTACGAGAATGAGATAAAATTTTAATGAAGCGTTACGTTTAAGTCCTCGGCCAACTGTTACACTATTAATGAAACGTCAATTATCATACCGCGTTTATGCTCCTCGCAAATTCAATGGGCGAGGAAAAATTTTGGTGCTGCGATTCAAAGAACGAGATTAATATCGCGATTGGATTAACGCCAATTGGCGATGGCGGGTGTGGGTAGAATTATCGATAATAACATGGATTAAGCCTTGAATTTCTAACTTGTGCTATTCTGGCTCGTTGTTTCCATTGCTCCAAATCGTTTTGACATATATATATATA